GGGGGGGGGGGGGGGGGGGGGGGGGGGGGCGCGAACATGCGAACAAAGGAAAAATGGAATTTAAACTCTAAATGATTGAAGTACATTCGATATCAGAAAAAAAGCTCAAAATGACCCTAATTTCGGGATTCAGCTCAAATTTCACTGCGCAGATAAGCAGCTGAAAGTTCTTAAACCTTTGCGTGATTCACACCTTTTATCTGAATTGTCGTCCTTCCGTTTTCAGAAAAAAATTCAGTAATGTCACATGTGCACGACTCTTCCTTGACAGGTTCACTTCACCAAAGCGAGTAGCCACGTGTAACTGGCGTGACCTTCGCCTTTCACCTTCTATCTTTGTGCCTATCCAGCCTCGCTCTCAGGTCATTTGTCCATATCTTTTTCTGTGTCCCCCACCCTCGAGGGAGAGGGCGATGGAGAAGTAGAGAGATACTACAGGGTAATCGTAAAGTCCCAATCTATTTTATTGTTAAACTCAAAATTCTTACAAAAATGCATAATGTGCACTTCACATTGTCAATAATGAACTAAATAAAACTGGTAATAGTAAATTTAAAATCAGTTATTAACATTTTTTTATTACTAATGTTTCACATGACCACCTTCCAAATCGATACATAACTGGAATTGATCCATTGTTTCCCTGAACATTCAGAATGTTCAGCATATCAGTGGTTACAGTGTTAACAGCAGCATAAGTACGATCTCTTAAATCTTCAGCATTGAGAATCTTTGTGCTGTAAACCTTTGACTTAATGTTCCCCATTAAAAAAAAATCCAAGTGATAACCCACTTGGATTTTTTTTTGTCAGGTTATCCTGAAGCCAACGTTCTGTTCGATCCTCGGCCAATCCAATGGTTCGGAACTTATTAGATAATCTAACGCAATGTTCCCGAAATTAAATTTGGGCTTCAAGATCCCCTGAGCTAATCCCCTTTGACTTTTTAGCATGGGAGTACATTGAGTCAAAGGTTTACAGCACAAAGGTTCTCAATGGTGAAGATTCAAGAGATCGTATCTATGACGCTGTTAACACCATAATCCCTGACATGCAGAACATCCTGAATTTTCAGGATGTTCAGACCCCTAGAACCCCCCCCCCCCCCCCATCTTTGGTTGCGTCACTGATTGTTCTGATTTCATATTATCTGTTAGTTAAATCTGAAATAATAACCCTTATAGTGCCAGAGCCGATTAGAGCGACGCTACGAATTTCATTGGAAAAAGGCCAGTGTCAAAGAGCTGACGATTAAAGGGTTAGGAAATGTTTCCAGTCCGACCGTTCGATTGCGTTCCTTCTCGAACTTTGGACATTTTAATGCCAGCTCTTCGACTCTAGCTTTTTGAAGAGATATTTGTAGCGTCGCTGTAAGCGACTCTGGCACTGTAAGGGTTAAACCTCGGTTTTCAATTTGGGGATTTGAGCAAATAGCTGCTCCTGGGAGTTTAGTTATCAGCTCCTCTCTTCGCTCCGTCATTCCTCCCGAAACGAGAAAGGGTCTCCAGTCTCCGATGGGGACCCGTGGTGTGTTCGACGGGCATCAGATTCAAGGACTGAATCAGACGTGCGTCATGAAATAGGTTTCAACTGGAAACTTTCCTTGCGACTGGAATGCGGCGGCAGGAAAGGCATTGCAGCATTAGGATTCCCAGCCCTTTTATTATGTGACAGGATATGGCATGTGGGTAGGGAGAAAAGGGACCACCATTTCTTACTGTAAGTCAATTCATCTATTATCTCGTCATACCGCCGATTGTGAGAAGTGGACAAAAGCGAAACCGTCTACCAGCAAGAAGTTTGGTCGAATGCATGTGTAGAAATTTAAATTGTACTGGCACATCAATGATGTAAAAATGTAATTTCGACTTCAATCGAATTCCCGTTGTACCGAATGTTGCAGCCAAGAGTGGAGTTTTATACGATCCAGCTTGCTTGGTGTCCCGAAGTTGGTAGTGTTTTTCTATCCTATTTCTATCATGCATCAGCCTCATGACTGGTCACCTAATGAGAATTTTCGTGATCTCGTATTAAGAACATGAGAAGAAAGGGCAGGCACTCATGCACCAATATATCAGTCTTTCTTGGTCCTTCGTCAGTCACTATCAGATACTAGGATCAGTTATTGGATATGACAGATTTGACAGAATGGCAATGACAATGACAGAAACGACATGAAATTGACCTATCAGGAAAATCTTACGAGCACCTAGACGGTTCTGAAGGTGGCTAGATGCACAACTAAGCTGAAGCCATTTCCTGCACCTGGTGATCAAGCACAAGTAGCCTCCCAGCATACACGCGGGAGCGTTGGAGGAATGCTATTACAACTTTCATTAACACGTTGACGACAATGCGTCCTGATGCCAGGATGCAGATTTTTTTTCAATGAATACCCTCTGGAACTGTTGAGAACGTTCCAGAAGATTATGATTTCGTAATTACTGATAAAAATTCCAAAAAATTCAGCATTTTAAAAAAACTCGGCAAAAAAAATGTTTTCTGGGACCATGCGTCCTGATGGCAGGACGCATTTTTTGACAAAAAAAAATGCGCGTGGTCCAACGCGGCGGACAAGCAAAAATTGGCTGGTTGTCAACGTGTTAATAACATCGAATTAAACGTGCCCGAGTAGCACCGGAACGCTCCATGAATACTCAAGTAATATTCATTTTAAGGTTCTACCGAGGTATTACTACCAGGTTCATGGTACGTGGTCGCACTTGGGAATATACCTGCTCTGGAGTTGCTACAATGTGTTGAAAATTCCTCCACACCCGAATCCATCTCCTCCGAAGGATTTTAGTCACGCCCGCATTTGACTCCTGCTTCATACGTCGATATGCATTGTTATTAATCGATTCTGATGTCTTCCTATGAAGTCATCTAGGAAGCTGAACCATCCTTCCTCCATCCTCCGAGCCAGAGTTTACAGGAAACTCCTTTGACTGGATTACCTCTTTAGACCTTTTTTAAAATTAGAATTCAGATGCCATCCCCAACTATGTCTGTGGGGAAAGATCGGTCTCCGTGTGAAAAGTATTGTGGACTAATTGCAGCTGTATCAGGTATTCACTCACTATATCGACTACTTCGGCGGCATCTCGGGTTGGATGTACGAACCATTGTTTCAGCCACAGCCAGATTACAAGCCCGCTGTCCCGATCAAGTGTTGCACATTTAACGTTGTCATAGCATTGCTTCAGCTCTCTTGTGCCAACGTTGCTTTGAACGCTTCCAAATGGGACATTTCAACGTTATGCCAATGTTCACATTCTGTGCTACAGGAGAACACCCTAACGCTGAAACACTCAAATAGCACATTTCCAACGTTGCACTAACACTGTCGTATTAAATGGGCTGGGTCTTTACGGGGGCAAACGCAACGACGAGAGTTGCACTTTCCTCGTTTCATTCGTAAGCAGGATCTGCAGCTGCTCGGCGAAACCCTGATTTGATTTGACAAATATTCAGCTTGCGAAGCTGCTCCGAGCCTGGGACAGCCTCAAGGCTTGTTTGAGCAGATTACCCGAAGAAAAAAAAACTATTATCACAATTTTATTCAATGAATCAACAAATAACAAAAAGGGTGATGTTGAAGCAGATGTCAGGTAAATGCGGTCAGATTGACTCTGTCCCACTTATCCTACCGTCCCAGTGCAAGGCTGTTGAGTGTAGCGAAGGCAAAAACCTCGATTGCCCAAGTCGTTTTGTGCAGTTTCCTGCCCGTTTGTGTGATAGTATATGACGAAGGGCTTCCGGTAACCTAAAAAAGAAAGATATATTACTGTTCAGGAAAGGCAGTAAGCTGAAAGGTAGAAAATTTTTCTCACTGTAATAAGGGCCCAGGTAGGCAGGTGGCGCTCCCTGTCCTTGCCCAGATGAGAAGAATGTGCCGCAGATTCGATCTACGCATGGTTGGGTGGCGAACGGAGTAACCTGGGTTGCACCAGCTGCTCCTTGGGCATTCGTTAGGCAAGGGATGACAACCCAGTCGAATGGACAATTCGCAGATCCCGTCTGGGACGATGGATTAGTGTTGACTGTCGTGCCGCTCACGCTGAACGCCTGGGTGAAGGTCTCGTTGGCCACTGCAACCGATACCAGACATTAAGTGGCCACCATCAATTCCTTTGTTACAAATTCCATTTATTGTACGGTACAGATTCTGTCCGTATGCATTTCTAGCACTTAGTTCTAACAAATTAATTTACTCGTCAGATTACAATACTCAAATACTCAACCTTTCGAAATGCTTCGTGCACAGGGTTCTACTTCGCGGTCACCATTACTAGAGCTCGAGCACTGACTCCCAAGTTTCTGGCACGTCCCTATCCAACGGGCTATGAGGCTCGCCTCTTGGAGTGTTACCATCTAGGACGACTTGAAATCGGCCAGCAACAAATAAGTTATTGTTAGAAAGCTTGCAAAAGGTTCTTCATGATGTATGGGCAAAGTAAGTTTTCAGCGCCAATCTCCGACTTTATGAATGTACGGTGTGTCTTCATACGGCCTGTATTGGAATATGCAGTGCCGATGTGGCATTTATCTCATCGCTTACTCACAGACCATAGAGCAGATCAGAAGAGAGCCCCGATGATCACGCTCGTGGATGATCGTGTCATACGAACGACCACCTGGCTTGCCTCACTAGCCTGCGAGCTCATTTCCAATCCTTCCTGGGTCGTTTTGACTCTGACCTGCCGCGTAACCCGTTTCGTCACTAACTCCCACTGCATCGTCACGCTTCCAGCTAGCTAAATTAGTTCGCTTCGAATATTCAGTGCTTTTTAAAGTTAACACTTCCCTCAGTCACAAGGTTCTCGAATTGAGCTTCATTAGACTTTTCATCCATGCTCTTGTCTCCTTTATTTTTTTATTTTTTTTTTTTGGCCCGTGAGACCTAATTTGCATTGTCTGCGTCTACACTGTCTCCGTTTGAAATAAACTACAGTATTTTGAATTGAGTAAGGCAGTCCTTCCTCCCACTACCTTGTATAACTCGATTACATAGATGCTGTCTTCTATTGTCCACCATTTCGCATAAAAAGTCCATCCTCACGTTCTCAAATCTCAACAGTGGCATCTGAAGCACTTAATCGTGTATATTAATGCTGAGCTAATAGAGGAGCGTCAGTATTTAGGAAAGGCCCGTATCCGAGTTAATATCCCAGCAGCGCGGGTGACATTACAGTCAGAGAAACATTTACCAATGCCATGCGAAGGCGACATGGCGAAAAGTCGTGCTTCCGCCTGTTCGCTTCTTTGTCCGCACGAGTTAAGCAGGTTAAGGAAGCTCTATCGTCTCAAAGTCCTGTCCTGTCATCCCAGTACTATACACCCAAACGTGCAAATACGTTTGTGTGTAGAGAACAAACAAATGCAGCACGGATGGAATGGAAAGGCACTGAGGGCTAATCTCCGATCAGTCTTAAGAATCCGTCTTAAGAATCCGAGATTATTTGTTAAATTTATCCATTCGTGTTCTTGCACACCACCTTTAAGTATTCCCAGAATGATACTGGCAGAAGGAAACGAAATTCGTAGCTTACCTGTACATGTAGCATACTGAATGCCGCAATAACCAGCTTCCATTCGGATGCAAATGCCGTAGTCCTGATTGGCTAGCTCCTGGCCAAGGGCAGAGTTGAAGTTGTACGTCATGACCTGTCCGGTGACTCCCGTGTGGAATTGAAGGCAGCCACTGCCGGCCAAATAGTTTGTGTTACAGGGGAGTTGGGTCACTTTGATCTTCCACGATCTGGGGAAGCTGCTTCCACTGGTCGTCACGGTGAGGGAAACGGAATTCGTCGTCTGTCCCACGTCCACGTACACTGCCAGGCAAGACAACAAATTTAGGTCGTGCCAATTCATTTCTCACTCTTCCGAGCGGAGCCTCCATTACTCCGTCAGAAAGATATGCTTGTAGCAATAGAATAACGACAGTGCTCAGATGAAGTCTAATTTCCAGCACAAAGGTTAATGAAGCCATTGAGGAAACTGTACGTGACTGTGCCCTGAGTGGAGGACTCTAGAACTATATCTAGTTTTTCTCTCGTTTCCCTGTAAAGCAGCAATCACGGACCAGATGAGATCCAGATGAAGTAGCATTAATTTAAGATAGGTCTCTACGTGCTGTTGGTACCACATTTCGCGTCATTCGAAAAACATTCTTTCATACATTGCTTTGGGCTGCTGAAGAAACAAGAGAACCACAATATTGTTGTGCTCACGCGTAGTCAAACAATTCAATCATTCCGTCGTTCGTCGGATCATCTAGAGGTCGTCAAACTCATCTGTCAGTCTCCTGATTGCCAGGAGGAATGGGAGTGAAATACCGAGAAACGGAACTCACTGTGATTTCCGGTATTGACACCGCAGATGGAAGGCGCGACGGATGTCCCACCCAAGACCGTGAAGAGATCGTTCGCACAAAGCCCATCGACCGTGGCTCCTTGCAAGTTGAAATCCACGAAATCCAATCTGACGATAACATGGGGAATTATATGTAAGTTTATTCATACTTTTCAGGGTTTTGATTTCACAAATTTTCTTAAGTAGGAAAAAGTTATCGCGAGAGGTCATACCGCATCTGGCAAACATTAGTGGATTCCTTGTCGATGTTGATGGTGCAAGAGGTCGTCCCGTCGAAGTTAGTAGGGTAGCCCGTATTCACGAAATACGTGCAGTTGGTTCTCGTCGTGGCTCCACACGTTGCCTGGACTGCTCGACAGAGGGAAGACGAAACGATCATCGTTAAGACTGATTGAGGTGCAGAGATCGAGGGAAAGAAACTCGACTGAAGTATACGGACAGACGCAGCAGACTCCGAATCCGGCAGCACAGGGTCCCTGGGCGCTGCCTCGGAGCGCGTTGCATTGAGTGGCCGTGTAACAAGTCCCATTGTCCCCAGACGTTGCGTTGCAAGCCCCGTTCAGGAATCGCACGATCGTGAACAGAGACAAAACTGTCAAGGAGAGAAACGTTGCTTTGAGTGCTCACCTGGAAGGAGTACCAGAAGCAGTAGCGGTAGTTAGCGAATTTCAATTTTGGCATTTTTTCGCCGAGATGCACCGAATCTTTTGTGGAACTTTGGGCTTTCCCAGGGATCCCTTACGTCGTAGGGCTACATTATGGCTGTGAGGCCGTCAACTCCTCTTTCCCTTAGAAAAATGCTCAACAACAGACCCTCGAAAAAGCCAGAAGTTCCCCCATCGCCCCAAAAAATTATATTTCAACAAAAGTTCTCCATGACACTAACATCGAGCGTCCCTCTCCCCATTCGCGGTTCCGGTTCTGTCCCTTGGAATTTCAAGCCCTCTCTCCTCTTGATCCTCCTTTTCCCAGACCTGGTCGCTCCTCTCTTCGGCAAAGGATCTGCAATAGAAAGAAGGACCTGAAGAAAACAAGACACAACGGCTGAAATTGTGGGTCCAGTGACCGCCTTGTCGAAGTCCACGATATAACTACGCAGAAACATGACTCTCGTGATTCGATTCGATAACGCTACGGGCAAACCTTGGCCTATTATTGTAAATTCAGTCGCTCCGCTGTCCCTCAACCAGCTAATCAGCGAAATAATGACGCGAATGGTTTTCGGATAGGAAGCCTGGCAGGCGACTGTTTAAAGGCATGTCTAAAAGCAACCGTCGCCACATTCCCAAAACAATTTCGGGCTATGCTGGTAGTAGGTTGGCTGTAGGAAATCTAGATCCCCTCCCCTCCCCTAGTCCCACTTTTGATGGACGTTTTATTCTGGCTACGTCACTACTCTCATAAGTCAGCCTCGGCCGAAAGCGAGCTTGAGGGTGTCACCGCGGATTTCCAAGGTGTTCATAAAGGGGGACAGAACTGAGTTCTCCGCTAGCCATCGGCGCAATTATTGTTCCCTGCAGCTATCGGCATCGGCTTCAGCTGACGCCGAGGCGACCGAGCGGCCTTTAGATGTCATCCGTCAACGCCAAACAAACGGCTGAACTAAGCGATGAAGCATCAGCTGAGTGTAGAAACGCACCCTGTTCTTGATTTTCTGCAGCCGATATACCCCCGGAGCACACCACAAAGAATGATAGCCGTGATTTTAAAATCTTATTGTGGCAGCTGAAAGACGCCAACTAAGTGTATTGTATCTAGGCAAATAATTTTATAAACTCATTGTCGTCACTCTCTCAGGGCAACCGTGTACTTTTCTGAAACACTAGGGTGCTGGGGAGCAAATGTGTTGACAACATTGAAAAACTGCTGGATGAGTCAGTCAGTTTGCCTCTGATGGTTCTTAACTTAAATATTTGGTTATTCCGCCAGCTTCGCCATCAAAAGTTTGGTCCAGGGTGGGGAGCCGGGCCAAGGTCCCCATAAATAGGGGCGCCACATCAAGCCATTATTCATCGAACACTGGCTTCGTGGGGCTACGGTCTGACAGATCGTACACCTTTAAAAGCACCCGGGAAAGGGATTTGTTTCGAATTCTTCCATTTTTCGCATGACCACTCCTGAAAAAAAGAGAAAGGCTTTCAAGCTGTTCTCACCTAGGTAGTAGATTTTAATATCTCGATAATACATATAGCAATAGGTTTAGGGTGAAAGTTCTAATAAATCTTGACTTTTGCATGTTCCTTGGCTGGAAAAGGGGAAGTGGGAGGGGGGGGGGGGGGGGTAGTGAGGATCACGCCCGATTCTTATCCCTTTTCACTGTTAGGAACGTTTGGAGACTAGAAGTCCCTTAGCAACTAAAAGGGAAAAGTCTCGGGCCTCCGGTTTTTAATTCGCTTGCGTCACCAATTAACTTTCGGACCGACTCTGCCGTGGTTTTTTTTTTTTGTTAGCTATTAACACCCAACACCTTCATCATCATCATCGCGCCATCGAAATTGCAACATGACGTGCATGCACGAACACGAATGGAAGGGCAGAGGAGGGAGAGGCTCCTTTCTATAATTGCATGCTGCGATGGATACAGTTAAATGCACGCGCCCTGGTGCCTTTGCACTCCACAGATTTTCATGTTCCCTCATAATCATGTGGCCGTGAAGTGGATCTGCCGTCGCATTTTTCATGCTCCAGTTATTCTCCCTCGCATCTTTTCGCTCTCGTAGTAAGTCACGCTTCGAATTACTGAATTCGCTGCAAAGTCAGATTGATATGATCGGAACAGAAGGATTGCTTTTTTAGAGGTCTCGTGATCCGCTCGGCAGCCGTCCGAATGTCTTTAAGGCGGTGAAGGGACTTTTTAAAATTTTCCTTTCTGTTTCGGTGAGTCGGAGAAACATTCTCCATGCACAGGAGCTTTGTAATTCATTTCATTCACTGAGCTCCAACTGAGTGGGGAACTCCCTTTCGGAGAATGCTCGCCTGTCGCGGATGACTCCCCAGGTAGCACGGGATGGGCCAATCTTGGATCTCGTCACTTGTTCCCATTGACCCGATGTTGGGCATGCACTACGGATGCACTATGGAGCCATCGATGGACCGACATTGCAAGTGGATGTGGGGACACGGATGGACCCAGGATTAGCCTAATGTACGAAATATTTGCGCAATTTGACATCTTGCATCTCCCAGTTTTAGCCATGCCAATATCTAGCGAGTTGCCTGGGTATTAGAGGAAATCTTCAGTCAGTGGCGTTGATACACCATGATTTTACTTGAAATTCGTGGAAGTTGTGGACGAGATTCTATGACGGAGGGAAAGAAAAATCCATACTTGTCATGTGTTTTCACAGACATTTCGTGGCGGAGCATCGATTTCTCACCAAAGGTGGACCGTTGTTGGCTGAGCAATGATAAGGATGCGGCTCCTGTCACCTTTGGATCGGTGATTTCACAGGAATCGAGAATGAATTAAAAAAAAGCGAACCAATAATGACCAATCATGGTCACTGGGGCCAATGATGCCATATCATGCCCAACACTTGCGAATGATAGGTCCAAGCGCTGCCAAGTGCGTGGACTAATATGGACTTATAATAATATGAGTAAAATGGGAAAATTCAGGCTTATCATGGGCAGAAAAAAATTCAGACAGGTTCTTGCCTGATATTGGCGGGTAGCTGATGGATGCCTGAAAATGTTATGCAGGCTGAAACGCTAAAGTGCCTGAAACTTGGAGTTTTTCTCTCTCCAAAACTTTCTATTAGAACTGTGTTTCAGCTCCACTTAAAATTTCAAAGATCGTCATATTCCGGAGATGTTTTACGATATTCCATCAGATATAAGCCATTCGTGCCACATATGGATATTCGTTTTTTTCCTAATGTGGAAAGAAAAGTCCTCCCCACGATTCATCAAAATTTCATCATGGTATTCTCGCATGGATGACCGAAAAACTTTGCAGCTGGCCAAGGAGATCCAGGCGTCGCCCAACTTCGTCTCACGCTGGTGAGGAGCTGGTTTCCATTTCTCTTTGCTCATGCATCGTGAGGGATCCCCGAGAGTCTCGCGTATTGCACCTGAACGGACCTGGGTCCTTTGCACATTCACGTCACGACTCCCATTTATTTCATCTTTATTTCAACTTTCACGAGGATACGAATTGCCGCGAACTCGAGCCATTGTGGGGTGGCAAAATGGATTCAACGTGACCTACCCCCCTGCTTAAAGACTGTGCGAAGCCTCTACTCCTCTACGCAAAACCCATGAATCCTAATTACAGCTACTACCCATAGCGACGTTTGGAAGATCACAAAGCACGCTTTCTTTTTCCAATAGAGGCATTACGGACGCCTTTACCTCTTGCGAGTGGCAATTCCAAGTAGGGTCGGGGGAATAGGAGATTTTCTACTCTGTTTAAAGCGTGGGAAAATATTCCGAGGGTGCTAGTCGACGTTTGCGTATCTCTCACGTGCAACCAAAGCTCATCATTAGGTCAGAAAAATCTAAACCTCCCATCGTTAGAATTAGCGAGATTAAATTATGGGTGTACTTCGTCGTGTATAGCCTAAGTTGAGGGACTTGATACATAAATTATTTTTCAAGGAGCAACTGTTGTCCATACTTATGATGAGCTCTTTAATATTTTCTAGTGATACGCCTGAAGGCCTCATACTATCCTTAGATTATTCTACACTCCAACCGACATTTCAGGCAACACGCGGTGTGCTTGAAATTTTTATGCAGCTGGCCGAAAGCATTTGTTGGAGGGTTGGCCTGAAATTTCAGCTGTTGAATCCTTCAGTTTACCGCTAACATTTAATTAGTGCAAATGCAGGTGCTACGTAAATGGAATATAAACAGCGCCCACAATTATGGTGTGGAAATTGGTAATGCTTTGCATCTGGTATTGGGACGCATGTGACCCCATGTGAACAACAGTTCCACTCGTGTCAAATTCGGCCTATGGCCAACATTTTCATGTGAATGAATGCGGTTTCTCAACCCCTGGACAGGTATGCACCAATTCCCCCTCATGTTGAGCTATGTTCCAGGAACTTTACTCAACCCCAGCGACCTGAAAATGTACCCTAGAATGGCCTAGTTTGAGACTCAAACTAGGCACTCAAACTTTGAGTATTTTAGGCATCCGCAAGAAAATGCTCATGGCGCTTCAATCGGGACTGCTTGGGGCCGGAGAGTAAGCTTCAGTTGACGTTATTCCCGTCGCTTTGTTATTGTCCTCCTTTGATTCTTTGATGCACAAGTGTCACTTCCTCTAGTTTGTGTCAAGTCTTGTGTGCATGGTAAAAGTTTCTTGCTTATTTGTTTTCATTTTCCTTTTTTTCTCTAGCGATTTTTTAAACGGACTCTGACCTACTTGGTGAAAGAGCGAGGAATCTGATAACCGAATCAGAAATTCAGAGCACCGTGATATTTTTTCTCATCAACGTGGGATCAGGAGCAAAACTTGAAAGAAATCCTTCAGAGAGTTCAGAAAGTGACGATTTATAAGCTCTCTGTTGAACTTGGATCCATCTCATGGCGCCATCCAGGGCAGATTCCGCCAGGTTCCACTCCTTGGGTGATGCCGATGACCTAGGCTCATCTCCATTGAAGGCCTTGTTTTCTGTGAATGCACCGCATTTTTCCCACTTTCGCGCAAAATTTTCTGACATTTACTATGGTTCAAGAAATTCTTCATTCGCATTCGTCAAGTGTGTCGATTCAATATAAATTCTTGAAGAAACCAGTCGAAAACCAATTAGCGTGAAAATTTCCCGCGCCCCCCGAAGACCCAACACAAGACACTAGAAGTGACTTCTGTACATCAAAGGATACATTAGAGACAGAACCAGTCCCGGAACTTTTTAATCATCCTGTTGTATACGGGATGGGCTAAGCAACTGAAAGGAACTCCATTTCGGCATTCATGACTTCCTGTAATTATAGACAAACCGAGGCCCATTATTACATATCTAGCATTCAGGAACTCCTCTTTGACCCCACACTTTTTTTTTTTTTACCCTGTGTATACGACTAGAGTTCCAAAACCTTTCGGCTTTCATCCAGAGTAAGAATCGCGTGGGATCCCACTCCCAAAGGCAAGAAGCTAAGACCAGCGAGCCTCAGAGCGAAAAGCGAAGGCATTGGATGGCATCCTCGACCGTGCATTCCCCGAGAAGCCTTGACACGCCACTTTTCCCGGATCTCACGGTATGGGGTGAGTTTTGTAGCGACCTTCGAAGGTCTCTGCCCTCAAAGAATAATGGGTGATACCTTCTTCAGGTTATGGACAAATTAATAAAGCGGCTTTATGACTTTAAAAAAACTTCTCAAGTACTTCCAACGTCTACGGGACTTGTCTGGCTCTAGATATGAGTGAGATGGATGAAGCTCGTTGAAAGAACAGAGTAGCGACGATAGTGACGAAAATGTTCACACTTCTGCCAAGGCAACACGAGCCAGTGCTTGTCGAAATCGGCTTAGTTGCTTTAATATAGAAGGCAGGTTGGATTTTTATTTATTTAAAATACTGTACTTCTCAGTATATTCTGTAAGGGTTCAATACGTAAGACATCCCAAAAATGCAGAGTGCATCGCCATCTCAACGCGAGTTCAACAAAACCTCATTCGTCGTAATCCAAAATTATAATTTATTTTGCCTCGGTCCACCTTTTTTCTCCCTGGAAATTAAAAACTTATTAGTGCTAAGCGAATGGGTGAGCCACCCAGGGGGCAAACCACTGCACCGAGACAATCCAATTATTCTCCCTTTCGTCACACTACAACCAGCGGCCGATCGGTCAATATGAAACGTGTACTTTTTAGTACTTTCCGCTCCAAATCATTGTTTGGGACGAGCCCCAGCAAGCGAGACGAGTCCAACGGTATCTAATACGAGGGCACGTCGAAGTCAGTGCTGTATTTTGACCTCTAGGTCGGTCTGTACGTTCCGACCGGATTGAGAAGACACCTGAGCACGTCCTTTCAGTTCTCTATTTCGGATCGAACTTAATGCGTAGAGACCCTCGGACCAGCACGTCATTTTGAAGGGCATGCAGATGCTTCAACGTGGATTGTGATGATGGGTACGTCTTACCGTAAGACAATACCGTATCTTTTAGTAATCTTGCATGTAATTGCCGTTACATGTCATGTGAATGAAAAAGAAAGGTCACCAATCAGAATCAAGCACGTCCATAGACATCGCCAAAACTATTTAAAACATAAATTGAAGGGAAAAACTTCAGCATTTAATTGTCTGTTGTTTTGAAAACATTAACTTTTTATTCCCAATGAGAGGAACTAAAAATCTCCCTTAATGTAAGTTCCCATTTGAATTCAGTTTGGAGGCGTCAAAGTGATTGATTTTCACACGCACTTTTTGTCGACAGGACAGGACATTCTCTCATTGGTAGCTAATCAAAGGTGAACATATCAGTCTCGCTAGATTTCCTAAAATCTGGGGAAGGAAAACTCCGCAAAAGTGCAATAGATGACGAGATTCAACGCATGGACACCTTGAACTGACTTGGGGAAACGAGAATAAGGATTAAATTGTCGCTCTCTGGCTGCACGAATACGAGCCGTCGATTCTAAGGCGACAGCGATGAGAAAGCGATGAAGGCGGTCAGGAGTCTCCTATATACGAGATATAAATAAATAGATAAATATATATATATATATATATTCTTAGAAGAAGGCGTTAGCACTTCGATGGCATTTCTGATATCCTGGGTGTGGTGCAAGAAAAAAGAAAGGTGCCTCGTTTCAGGTTTTTGAAAGTCGAGAATTCCATCGGAACGCGGGTCAATGAAAGACGAGGGATCGTTTCCTGTATTCCTGTTTTGCATTCTGCAAGCATAAAAATATTTATCGCTACCGTAGCCAAATCCCGAAAGGACGGATTGATGCGTTGTCCCTCGTGAAAAGAGCTGAAGAGGAGGGGCCCGTTCCTATGCTAATTATAAAGTTGACCTTGAACAAATTGAAATAAGCAGCCGAGGGTCAGGCGAAAGCCATTTCGCCTGTGCTAATTTAAATTAAATTTCATAAGGGCGAAAGAGCAGAAGTCTGTTCTTCGCCCTTGACTCGTGCTAAAGCCTCGTCTAAACGGGGAATATTATTAGATTCGTCTGACCCAGTTTAATCGCCGCATAAAATGTTGGGACGAAGTGAAAAGAAATGCTAGTAACGTTTATTGAGATACGTGACCGTGAGCTTTATGATGCTTCACGGGCGATGGACTCACCGGAATCAAACAGGGGCGGATTTCGTCAGCACGTGCGAGACCGAAATCGGGGCCGAAATCGATTATTTTCATTAAACACCGGCTATCATGAAGCTGCTGCAACGCTTTTTGCGATTCGTCGCCTTTTCGCCACCGTAATTTTGCGTTTCATTGACTGCCACTGGGTTACGATAAAGGAATTCGGGCTTTACTGAATTTTCGATGCCATAGGACGAGGAGGGGCAATTTTTACCTGGGAAAGTCGACAAATGTTCTTGCGTTTTTTTCCTATTAAGTAAATTACTTAGAAACAAATTCCGTATATATATTGGGCACACATCGCATGCAAATTAGGTGGCGAACATCATCACCAACCGGTATCGGTGTGGGTGGGAAGCGAGCTTCCCAACTCACCCAAAAGAACTCGTGCGGTGAAAGAATACTTCCCACTGCCCACGAAAGGGTTAATGACCATCATCTCTGGCCCTCCCACATCACTATGTCCTGGGGGGAGGTATTGGGGGGGGGGGGGGGGGGGGAGGGGGGATCNGGGTGTGGCTGGATTTTGATGCTGGCGCGTTACGCGGGGAGGGTGTATCTTCCGTTTCCTTCCAAGGGGGGGGGGGAGAATGCATAGTCACAATTCCCCGGGAGCCGGTTCTCAATTTTTCAGTCTCACATTCGCAGCATGAACCCACGCAAATGAAGTGAAACAAACCGCCTCGACGCGTGAGATGTTTATATTAACAATGCCATACTCCGTCTTTGGGGCATACTTGCTCCTCAGTAGATACGCTGAACGAACGTTCGGAATATCAGGTTAACCCGCAAAAGAATCCCAGCTTAGCTGAGAGCCGGCCCCGTGTATGATCCGACATATTTCGGTATATCTGTAGAGGATTAAAGACGGTTGAAAGGACACTCCTTTTTTTCTAGCATGCTTATGCAATGAATGCTAAAGTGCAGTTATTTGCAGATGGTATGAATGAATTTTCAGAGTTAGCTTTTATTTAGACTGACTTTTGATTTAGTTTTGATTTAGATCTAGCAAAGAAAAAGGTGGAGCAGCACGGTCTCGACCAAGTCGATGGAGGCCAAATTTTTCTGGAACACTGATACCAAGCATCCTGAAGAAGAGTTCTGAACTCCGTGCCCTTTCTTTTGTCCTTTCTTTTGTCCTTTCTTTTGTCCTTTCTTTTGTCCTTTCTTTTGCCCTTTCTTTTGCCCTTTCTTTTTTTCTTTGTCGATCGAGAAGGTAACGCCTACTCCGCCCGTCGAGAAGCTCACTTTCTAGATGAACGTCTTCCTATGGGACTTGTCCGGGCGCTCCGTAACAATTATGCCTGTTGGAATCGCCTATGACGTAGATTTCTCCTTTAGATTCTAGGTTCTTTCTACTGAAAACTAATTAATATGTGCGGAAGAATCCCACAACGAAGAATCCCGTGCAACATACTTGAGACCGCGGCAAAATAAATTGTTAAGGAAAGTATATCTAAGGCATTACATCAAACTGCAGAAGATACTGAAAGTAAAGGAGGCAATTATTAATCAAGAAGTAAGGATATCTGGCCATTCCTAGAGTATCGTTTCAAACCTAATCTTCATGAAATCCCACTCTCCCCCATTTTCGTCTGATAGGGCGATTGCTCTGTCGCCTTCGACGACAACTTCAGTCAGTGAAGAAATCGAGAAATGCCGGCGGAGACAGAATTGCAGCTGTGATTTTCGGGTCTCGCCTCAAGTATCCAACGGAGATGGACTGGACCAGAGATTCTCAAACTTTTTGGGTTCACGACCCCGTTTCACGGGGGACAAAAGCTCGCGAACCCCAATTTTCAGGTTCCTGGAGCTAAAGAGAAATCGATTACAAACCATCTTAAAAAAAGGAGATTATTGTATTTCTCTGATTCCACTATGATCCCTTCGCGACCCCCCTGGGGATCAAGACCAACAGTTTTGAGAATCCCTGGACTGGACCACAAGGGACGGAGGATTTTCGTCCATTTCACTAGCTTTCCATCTCCAGATGGGGATTAAATGGATAGTATTGTCACCTCAATTATCTTTAAGTCAAGTTTCTAGAGCATATATATAGCTCCAACCTCAAGGGTCGAGAACCTCTTTGAATCCAATCTGGTCTCTCATCCAGATCTTAGCAATAATAGCAAAACAAGTTGAGGAAAGCGATAACGGTAAAGAAAACACAAAAATGAGGAATCAGGATCCCTGTTTTCCTAGCTCTCAATGCACTCCGCCAGTTTCAAGTTCAAGAAACAACCTCTGGTCGTCAAACTCTGAAATACACGTGAAAGGAGTCGAGATGGGCGACATGAAATGTCGGACTCACTGTTCATTTTTGATGGGAGGATCGGGACCAGCCTGCTGATCGACTCGAGGTCTGTCGATCTGAGTCCTCTGTTCCCTGAGTTCCTCGCGAAGCGACTCCCGTTGTCGACCTCTAGCCGTGTCCCTGTTTCGATTCTCCCATCGCCGAGACCCGGAGATCCCAGGCACGGCGGCCAGGAGAAACACGATAACACACACAGACACGACTTGTCGCAATTCCATCTGCAACATAAGATGACATCGACTGGTCGTTCCTTCTGCAAACGCGAGCGACAGATCCGCTAAAGCAAGAAATCCCCGCTCGTATAAGAGACCACGATCTGTTCGAGACGATCAACTGCGCCGTCGCCGTGCGGTCCCCAACGGTCCCCAACAGTCCCCAACTTCGCCTGCACCGGCGGCAGTCACGAGTGCGAGTGAGGGACGGGGAATGTGGGGCCTGGCCCGGCTCATCGCGGTCCCCGTTACACTCTGAAAAGTTTTCGCTGCACGGGTGAAGAGGAACGGCGAAGGAGAAATAAAGAAAGAAGGTCCCCCCCCACCCTTGGAAGGAAACGGAAGATACACCCTCCCCGCGTAACGCGCCAGCATCAAAATCCAGCCACACCCTCACACTTTCTCGACAATGGAAGCATGACCATGGAGTCCTCGTTGGGTACCGAACCGAGGAATAGTACCATATGCGTCTGCCAGAGGACTCTCGAGAATCCGGGATCTTCTCCCGTAAGCCCCACCCTACCTAGAAGGATGTTACTCATTCTTCTCCCAGGCTTATTAAGTTATTCCAGACCGGAAGGAGAGGTACTGCCCTCGATATGTTCCCTGCCCTATCGTTAAGGTATTTCGAGGAACCTGAAAGATTTGGAACGACGGAACCACATCGTTGAATTTTTGCATGCGAGCACAAGGAAAAATTCATTGGCCTGCTTGGTAGATAATTTCACTTCCAGTAGAACTAATTTTCAAGTCAAAATATGTTCCGGGTCGCACCACTTAACGGTATCTCGCCGAGGGCATCGAGCGTACGAGGGCCTCTTATTTTCACACGTCATCGAGAATCTGAAAAAAAAGGCGAAGATCCCATATTTCTATCAGAAAAAGAATTCGCTTTTTTTTCTAAAGGGAGGATGATTAAGTTGAATTGAAGTTCGCCTTTCTAATTGAGAGCTGAGACTCGACTTCATGGTGAAAACTCGGCCCATCCTCAATTCTCATTCTACCGTCCAAAAGGGGCAAACCCCTTTCGTTTTCCTGAGGCTGAAGCAAGAAATCATTACTATTTTCGAATATCCGTTGTATATTCATGATGTTCTACAGTTACTCCGCAGACTTTGATGATTCTCAAAAAAAATTGAGCATTCCTGGGCCATGCGACAGTTTAGTTATTTCTAAAAAAAAAAAAAGTGCGATCTCGTCCTCGTCCTTCTCCCCCATGTCTCTCATGAATCGCAAGTAATCCTAAGGATGACTTTGTCAAGAGGAAAGAGGAAAGGGTAAGAGGAAAGGGCCGCAGAAAAGATTTGATGATGAAGTTGAGCGGAAAAAGATGAGTAATCTGCTCCAACTTCTGTCGATTAGGTCTCAATCACCAGGAATCGTTTTCTGTCTATTGCCGGACGAAATCTTCTCCCTGCAGACCACTTTATCCTATCTTGATGACCACGCCAACTATATTTATCCCTTGGAAAGTTATTTCAGCGACCCACCTTATTTTTATCTTTCCCTTGAACGCATTCAGTCCCCCGGCGGTCAACTGGTTACTAAGTTATCCACAGTTCATCTTCCGTTCGTACCAGGTGCCCTCCCATGTTTCGCTTCCTGAATGCATGCATCATGTCCTGGACGAGCGTCTTTCCTCTCAACCATGTCCACTTGGCTCTTCTGGCCATTCCCAGCATGGATCTCTCCATGCTCCTCCGAGACGTTCTCGGGTTATTTTCCATCTTCTTCGCCGATGGCCAAGTTTCCGAACGGTCACGTCAGGTAATGCCTACCAATGAAAGACTCTTCTCTTCGGAAACGTCGTTATCTCACCCTTCATGCCTGCGTCCATTCGCCCAAAGGCACTCCACCCAACTCTTTCAGGCTTGGCTGATAACTACTTTCACAGTGCAGAAGCATTTGTCGAACTTATTCTTCTCTGCCGTTATAAAATACATGCACGTTTTAAGATTGCTTTGCGGACATTCTTCTCGAAGGATCCTCTCACTGTTCGTCAATACCTCTGAGCCACGAGGGCTTTGAGGACTAGGTCCCTAGATTGGCCGATCCCATCGCTTGCAGGCCGCGGATGGACTGACAGACTGCGTCGGTTAATCGGTCATGTGCTCAATGAGTTGTCGCAATTGCGAAGGAGTCGACGAGGTGTCGCAACGGTTCCAGAAGTTCGCGTTGAGCTTGGAGCTTATGCACCAGTTTATGATTTTGATTCGGGGATTCGTTCGATTTTCCAAAAATCGGAGACGCGAGGTCCAAGACACGTGAACCTAACAAACTCCTTACTACCACACCACCTTGTTTAATCAAATAAATAGTGCATTTAGATTGTCTCGCTTCTTTCAAGCCTAGATAGTGGAGCTTACGTGGATGGTATACAATTGTTGGTACTATTTCTGAAGTAACGCTTTCTGAATTGGTGTAAGCGGCGGCAGTGGCACACCCAGGGAAATCGGTAAATCAAAATGATAACCTTCAGTCAATTTTCGCATTTCGACTTTTTTTTCAGGAGGAAAAGGCATCAACTGGAATTTCGATCCGTGTCAGTCTCTCCCCGACCCCGCCGGATGCCTGAAAGGCGTCTGCAACACCGAAATGCGTCTTTGGCCAAGACGAGAGGCATGGGTTGAGCAGCCTTGCATCGTCTAGACGCATGTCAGCCTCCGTCTTCCACTTCATCGTGCGGATGAAGTGGAAGACGGAGTGGAAGTGGAAGGGCTCCATCATAAACCCTCGGAGCAATGCATTGACTGTTGAGGGATTCACATGCAAGCGTGTGGGAAGGCATGGCCTCCTCTCCCCATCACCTTCTCTTCGGCCCGTGTTCGTAACACCTGCGTCTTTCAGGGATTCTAATGTGATTGGTTCCTCCATTCGAATCCAGTTCCATATGGTGTTTGTATTTGGTTTCTTGTATTGGTGGGGCAATACGTATCGCCGGTGGTCTAAGCTTCTCAGGTGAAAAGCCTATGATATTCGTACGATAGGTTCGTCTGATATTCGAAAATACCTAGACTATCGCCTCGAATCAATAGGTACTTCCGCGTCTTCTCTCAATCTTAAAAACTTCCTCTACTAAAATGTCCGCCCTTGCATATTTCTCTTTGAGCGTTTTGATTTAAAAAAATTTAGTCCTCTCCGCGGCCTTTCAACAGTCAACGGAAGAAAAGAAAGTTTTATTTCCTGGGGTGTGAAAAATCAGATAAATACATTTTTTTAATGCAGATTTCAGTACATGCAACATTTTCTCCACTGAGCTGCCGTAATTGGGGGATTTTGAAGATGACAGTCAGAAGAGAAGTATATGGATCGAAACGTGTGCCCCTCCTGCTGGGGATCTACGTATCTACAGTATTCTGATGAGCGAAATCCCATTGTCTTTGGATTGAATTCCTACCACCCCCCTGAGGGGGGCAACGGTGAAAGATATGGAGAACGAGGTCGAAATGCATCACATGCGGGCCACATGCGCACACAATCAAATTGATGCATTTTGATCGTGGAAAAATCTGTACTTTATCTGCACTGTACTTTATCGGAGTAAACATGAGACTTATCTTACCTGGAACTATCTTTCAAATCGTCAAACTTTCTGAGGATGACAGTTCGACGTGTCAAATCACCGTCATACTCCATTTCGTTGAAATAGTGTTTCTGGTTACACAAAAGTTGAACATCAAAATGCTGTAAAGGGAAAGTAATGTCCTTCAACCATGTTTCACTGTGCCAGAGGCACCTAATCGAGAGACAAATTACTCCTGGTGAGGTAGCTACAGCTGCAGGAAGGTGATGAATGTTGACAACTAAGCCTTGAAGACTAGTAATAGCCCCCGATTCTTGAAGAAGTTGCTCCACAAGGATGGTTTCAAAGCTGTATCCAAGATCAAGAACGCGTGCTTTCGCCAAGACACACATGAAAACTCGACTCGATATTGCTTTCGAATGCAACGGTTTGATGGAAGAGCATACGAGGATCTAATTTTAAAAAGTTCCAGGACCTGCACTTGAACGAGTACACCACGCAATAAGCCTAGGTTTCAACATGGTCGACTTCGAAGTAGTCCCCTTGGCTTGGACACATACACATGTCCCAAGGCTTTGGAAAACACCCTGGAATCCGTTCCTTGCAACATCTTCCAAGGCATTTGTCGCGACTACCTTGAAAGCGTTTGTGTCGTCAAATCGGCGGTCTTTAAGATGAAACTTTATCCGGGAAAACTGCATGAAGTCACGAGGCGCAAGGTCCGGTGAGTATGGCGGATGGGGAAACAATGTCATTCCACGGTTTGTCAAAAACTCGGGGACGAGAAGTGATGTGTAACAGGACGCACACAACTTTAGGTACTATTTCTGAAGTGACGTGACACGTTCCACTTTCAGGCCATGTCCTTGTTTCTGGTCTTCCGAGCCACACATCATTAGACAAAGGGGAAGGGAGGAAAAGGTATCTATTTATTTCATTTGTGAAGAAATCGAACTAATCGTTAAGAAAGAGTTGGAATTTGGTCAAGCTGTTCTTCGAGAACGGTAAGGAAGCCGGATCCAGATTCATCCGAGGCTCCAATCCAACTCGACCGGTTTCAACGATCCATCTCCGTCCTCGTCCATCGCTGTCCACCGCTCCCTCGACTGCTATGCGCACCTGCGAGGGTGCAGAAGTAGACGCGATGACTGACACCATAGGAAAGAGGATATTGAACGCCACCTTGCACAACATTCCATTTCCTATTCCAGGACTTTTCCTCTCCTCAATTCTCGTTGAGGAGAAGTCGTGAGCACTTCTCATCAGCAATTTAGGCCGAAGCACAATCAGTGACGTATTTTTGCTCATGGGAAAAGGGGGGGCAGGGTAACAGAGAGATGCTGCCGAGAACGGGAGGGATGAGAGACTGTTCTCAAAGGCAAAAAAAAAATTATAAAAAACACAATCGGAGTCGAGATCTTTTATCCATCACTGGTCGCGTGAGGTACAGGCGATCCTACGCTTGCTTATCCTACTTACAGTGCTGAGCAGA